ACTCCTGGATACACTCGGAAAGTCGATACGGCGGAACAACGGGCGCAATAAATTTTAAACATACTTCGAGGTGCATTAGAGCAGTACTTAGAATTTTTAGTTCTTCCTACCATAAATCGACACTCCGCGGATAAAGTTCCGCAAAGTTTCGCGAACGGAAACTTCATGATTCTATTGGCGTTTTTCCGGTCATAGACAGTAGGCCCTATCTTCAGGATTAATCGCGATATCAACTAGAAAGTTTCCATAATGCATCACAACGTACTCGCATTGTATGCGAGCATTTTTTCAATATGCTACTAGGCATACTAAATTATTACGCATAGTATATTCACGATATGAGCCGTTTATTTTGAAAGTGGCACAAGTCACTTTGTTTTTAAGCCGATATATTTAAGGGTTTGCGTTTTAACACTTTTAAAAATATGGATGCTGACTTTCGAGAAGATTTACTTGTATTTGTTATCTAAGGATACTGATATTTTTCTCAGTATAAATAATTTCGTATAATCATTAAAAAATCACCACTTTTCATTGCGGTAAAGTGACTTATGCCACTTTCAAAATAAACGGCTCATATATTTGGTTTACTTTGCGTCACATGCTAATCTGCACTAGCTACAGAATGTGATCAGTTTAATTTATTCCGTGGTTCGATTGGAATTTTTTTCAGCTAAAACAACATGGTTTAAGAAGAGCTTTAAGATGATCGTACCAAATTTTTCGTCGATCCTTTTCTTCCGGAGTTATCAAGGAAAAAACTGTATGTTATGATGCTTGCCGAATTCGTCTCAGCATCTCCTAAAACATGGTTACGACAAAATTGTAGATCGATCTATAAAAAACTGACCTTGTTAACTCCGGAGAAGAGAGGTTGACCAAAAATTTGCACGATCATCTTAAAGCTGTCCTTAAACCGTGTCATATGCAGCTCCAAAAATTTTCCATCGCACCACCAGCAGCAGAATAAATTAAGCTGCTCACGTTCCGTGGTCCACCCTGTATATTGTCCAAAAAAATTATACTATAGCAAAATTTTTGGTAAAAAGTGACCAATTTTGACCGACGATAGCTCGGCGAAAAATTATTGTAGGGTGACGGTGCATTCTTCAAATCAAAGCTTGAAACCTCTGCTTTAAAATACTGTTTTTGAATTTTCAATTTGATGCAGCTTAATCGCTATAACCCTTTAAATGTGAGACTATGTTGGTCGTATTGAAAATTGCCAGGTTTGACGAAATGTACGGACTTTGTAAAATTTGTCTCGGGGATGCCGTTTACAGTCGAATGAAGTTCGATTAATTTGGAAAAAAAGGGAACGTGGCTGCGATCTTTTTTCGGCAAGTTACCGATTATGCCATTCTATAATAATACATGACGAAAATGCAAGAATTATTTCAAAGTGCCGTAACTTGGCGAAAAAAAATTCACAGCCACGTTTCTTCTTTTTCTTTTAATTGAAGAGAATGAATCGAAACTTCATTCAACTGCAAACGGCATCGCCGAACAAAGTTTTCTGATTCTCTTGCACTACTTATAAAAGCGGTTTAATATCTGACTATTATTTGCCTCTTCTATACACCGAAAGGAATATAAATATCTGTCACCGTGTCGGACCATTGTCTAGACATTCTACTTTTAGGAGAACCAATTTAACAAATTGAGAACCTCAGAATATGCATCACTCTACTGCAGGGGTGTCAAACTCGCGGCCCGAGATGAACATTTTTGATGTCAAGTATCAGGACGTAAACAATAATTTAACTTTATATATGTTTATTACAATGTACTAGTCAAAATAAAAATATTTGCTTCTATGAACATTGATTTTTTTTGCGGCCCACCTAAAGTTTATTAAAAAAAAGTTTTTTGTCGCAGGGGTTACTGCGACGGTTTATATAAAATAATCCGAGAGTTTTTTTGGTTTTTGTATAACGAGAACATTAATATAACTTGTAACAAAAGGCGATGAGGTACAGTGTGTAGAAGGTAAAGGTAAACGAGTGACGGATGATACAGAAATATGAACACGTTGAGAGTCGGAGGAAAACTTGCTAACTGACTTCTCGGTCGAGAGGTCCTCGTATTTATTGGTAAGGGAAAGTCCTTGGGAAGGGCGAAGGCCTTTCCCGAAGATTTTCCGACCGGGGTGATCCGGGACCTATGGTCCGAAGCTGTGTCCCAACGTTTTTATTGTTTTATTAGGGTGTGTACGCCTTGCGTCGGGAAAACCCGAAAAAGGCATATGTACACCCCGCTTTTGAAGGACGTGTCTTTTTATGTCTGGTCCGCCACAGTTTATTAAAGTTTATTAACTTAAAGTTTATTTGGCCCAAGTTAGCTTTTGAGTTTGACACCCCTGGTCTACTGCGTCCGACCATCGTCTGGACCTCCGGCTTAGACAAAGGAATTTCGTAAACAGAAAGCACGGAATAAATATCGGTCTACTGTGTCTGATCATTGCCAGGATTTGCTACTTGCTCGTTGCAATTTAGTAAGTAGGAAACGAGAAAATGAATACCAGTTGTGTCCGACCTATATTTGCCTGTTCTACTAACTGGTAGAAATTTCATGGCTTATTATGTCTGGCCCGTGCCGACCGTCTCTACTTGCGAAAAATAGTTCGATGCCAAGCTGCAAGCTGATTTTTCCGGCTCGTGAAGATTGACACACGTAAAATGTGATCTCGTAAAATCACGTGAAATCTGATTCTCTGACACATCACCGTATCGTATACGACGTACATTATGATATCTTGATACACCAAGATTCTGACACATCGAGCAATATTAACAAACATAACGCGAACAAATCACAGCATATCAACCGAAACATCATACATGATTAGACTACGTTCATCTATTTATGACAATAGTGAGAAGGTGAAATACATAACATATTAAATAATAACATTAATAATTACATTAAATAATATATTAAATAATAATAAGGTTAACAATGCTGTTAAATTATTTCCAACCGAGCTGGACGAACGTTAAGGACGAAAATTAATTTTTATTTAATTACCGTCTGTTACAATGGATGTACAGAGTCTTTGTTTAGCATAAAGATTCACATGACATGTGTGTGTCTATTAAAAATTATTCTCGAAATTAATACTAAACCTACCGAGTGCTCAAAACGATTGGATCGTCTCATCTTATAAAAAATATGAGATTGCGTTTATTTAGACTTTTGGTATATTTTATATATTATATATTATTATTATTATTAAAATAAAAAAATAATAAAAATAATTAAAATTAAAATTATTATAATTATTAATTATTAATTATTATTATATATTATATTATAATATAATATATGAACAAAAGAATGTAGTCGATCATTTTCCATAGAATCATGTTTTTCATTTCGATTGCGCATTTTTCATTTCACAATTATTACAATCATAAACCGGCTCTCCTATTGGAAATTGTTGAAAACACTTCTTCATCCAAAAACACACTTCAATCGTATCATTTTTCATTTCATTTTCATCGTATCATTTTTCACCATTTTTCATTTCACAATTATCACAATCACGAAGCTGCTCTCTCATTAGAAATTGTTGAATACGCTTCTCCATCAAAAACCGCATTGTTCGATCGTATCATTTTCACAAGTCAACACGCAAGCAGTAACTTTTAGATCTCTCAACATGTCTAGCTCGTCGACACCGTGTTCACTCGACGCCTCCTAATCGGCGAGCATCGAATCTTTTAATTCGCGATTAACGAGATTGTTCAGATACGTTCATCAGGAGTTCGATAAAGTTGCCACGAGACAAATATTTGAAACCCGGAATCGTTCAAACTCGCCGCACGGTTACCTTGACAAAGTAATAGAAAATCGTTGCCTTCGAGTGCTCTCCGCAAAACCTAGCATTGAAAATCCCTAACTTCCTAAATACGTGTCAACGAATATTCGAGCAGCAGCTCGAGTTGCCAACCACCATCTGGAGTTTCCCCATTGATGTTCAGAGCCACCCGGAGAACCCTGAACCCCGACGTACATTAGCTAATAGCGGAGTAACGTCGAACTATCTGGCATCGATTTCTCTGTAAAACAAGTTGTCGCTAACATACCAATCAAACGAGGCCGACCGAGTTCGCAACAATTCCAATAATCTCGCCGGTGTTCGCCGTTTCCCCCGAAGAACACAGCCAAGAGTGCCAAACACGAGACCTGCGAGCGTACGCACGCGGCGCATCGCGGTCCACTCGATCATCGATCTCGCCGGGCAATATTTCGGCGCGATGACCACGCGGGCCGCGTACATCCCCTGGAACTTCCTGTCTCCCAATCTCGCGAGCGTCGACCACGGTCCGCATTCTACCTCCACCGTGACTATCGGCACTGCCGGCCGAGCGAGAAAGACAGAGCGGACCGTAGCGAGCTACTGTGGGAGAGAGACGCGAGACGGAGGGAGAGAGAGAGGGAGGAAGACAGAGGAAGAAAGAAAAGATAGAGGAAGAACTCTTTCTTCCTCTCTCTAGAGAGAGAGAAAGAGAGAAAGCGCGAGAGAGAGAGCAAGAGAGAGAGCGCGCGAGAGAGGGAGAGCGAGAGAGAGAAAGAGAGAAAGCGCGAGAGAGAGAGCAAGAGAGAGAGCGCGCGAGAGAGGGAGAGAGAGCGCGTGAGATAGATAACGCGAGGGAGAGAGCGCGAGAGAGAGAGCGCGAGGGAGAGAGAGCGAGAGAGAGAGAGAGCGCGAGAGATAAGCGCAAGAGAGAGAGCACGAGAGATAAAGCGCGAGGGAGAGAGTACGAGAGAGAGAGCGCGAGGGAGAGAGTACGAGAGAGAGAGCGCGCGCGCGAGAGAGAGAGCGAGTCCTCGTCGGGTGATCTCGACCGAGTCGGTGTCTCCTCGTCTCTCCGAGTGGTTCGACTATCGTCGTTCCCGTTTCTTCTTACTTGGTCGGGTGTTCGTTCGCGGCGTATTCGTGCGGGACGCTTGCGCGTAGAAACGGCGCGAGGCGTCGGCGTCGGCGTCGTGCCGGGGGCGTCGCACGAACGTTGTCGGCCACCGGACCGACCGTCTCGACCGAGCGTTCTCCTCTGGCGAAGCCAGTATCAAGCCGGGAGCCGTCGAGAGGGTTGATCCACCTCTGGAATCGGTAGCGCACGCTGCGTTCCTAGGACGTCGTATAGCCCGCGAAGACAGGCCTGGAACGTTGGTACCGTGTCCCAGGACGTACCGGGAGTACCAACCGCCAGCAGACATCGGTCGTCGGAGGTTGGCCGGCAAGCGACGCCAAGCACGAGCACGAGCAACCTGACCCACGGTGTCTCGCGCGCGCGTTTCTACACGGGTGGCTGCTGCCTCGGCGTTCAGGTGCAGTGGCTGCCAGTGGAACTCACCAGTCGGATGAAAAAAATGGGGCGTACGCCGTGCCACGAAAGGCGGATCGATCGCGAAATAAACGTACGCTGGATGGACGACGCGGAGTAACCTGTTTCGCGGATTCACGCGAACGCCAGCCGCCCATCCGCCGCAAAAATCCGAGCTGTTTCGACGAGCTGGTGTGTGCGGGCCCAACGCGTCGTCGAGCATCGTGTGTCTCTGCCGCCGCCGTCGCCACGCCATAGTGCGCGACTGTTGGGACGTCGACGGGCTGTCTGGTTCCCACCGTGTCCCTGGCGAGTCGAAAGGAGACAGCCGGAAGCTTCGCCATCGGTTTTTCGTGCGACGCAGGTGTGCGTGAGGTCGAGGGTGTCGCGTGTTCGCTACGGTCGGCCCCACCGTTGGCCCCGTTCTCCTCTCCCACGCATCCCAAACCCCTCTCTGTATTTCTATCTCTCTCTCTCTCTCTCTCCTTCTCTCTCTCTCTCTCTCTATGTGTGTGTATATTTCGCCCCCCATGCAGCTTGCGTAGCACAGTGATCGGGGAAGGGAAGAAACGCGAGTCGATCGCGTACCGTGCGTGGTGAAAGTGCTCCCGTGTCACCGTGTATTAGGAGGTCGAGGTCGTGCCGCTCGCTGGCTGGCTCGCTTGCTCCTAAAGGTGTACCCTCCTATCGAGATACGCCGATCCCGCTGAAGAATTTATGAGTCCGGTGCGGGACCCGGGGCCGCGCGACCAGCCTCTATCGCCGGGGCTGCCGGTGACCCTGACGGGATCCAGCTAACCCGTAATCCGCCTCGCTCTTTCGAGATCGCTGCAGGCCGCCTGCCGTGCCACAGAAACCGAACGAGAGAGAGAGAGAGAAAGAGAGAGGAGAGAGTGGGAGCCAAGCAAGCTCGAGAGGGCTCGGGGACACTCGAGGAGACGACGACATCACCGGAACAGACGGGGAAAGTGTGTCACCGACGTGGCGCGAGGCGCCTCGAGGTGCCGCGCGGGTTAGCTCGCCGCTAGAGTCCCCAAAGCGACAGCGGCCCAAAGAGCCGTTGGGAATCTATCCCGTCGAACCTAAGTTTCAGTTACCGCGGCACAGTCGTCGACCTCGAAAGCTGTAGAGCGTCCTCGTAAACAGCGCCCGAAAGGCAAGCCAGCTAGGCCTCCGCAAATCCTTCGGATGAGTTCGATTTCCGGTGAGTGAGTGAACACTCGAGAGGATCGAGTCGCGTGTAACGTGATTGTGAAGTGATTCTCTAGGTATACAGATTCGAATTCGAACGCATCCAGGTGTCACGTGGAGAACCTGCCCGCTTCGCTGGGTACCGCAAGCCTCTTGTCTCCCCATCGATTTCTGATCGTGTCCGTTCGCTCGGTTGAATCGGATCGGTGTTACTCGGCTAGATAGATAGATAGAGAGAGAGAGAAAGAGAGAGAGAGAGAACGAACGAAAGAGAGAGAGAGAGCATGTGTGTGTGTCTGTAAAAGAGAGAGAGAGAGAAGAGAGAGGCGAATCAACGGCAGACCGGAAGCAGATCGAAGGCGGATCGAAAGCCGATTCCGAAACCCGGAGTACCGTGCCGGAGAGTCACTCTCTCTTTCCATAGCCGTCGCCTACGCACGCAGCGCAGGCGAGACGGCTTGCGCGTGCGTGCTCACGTGCGAGCGTAGCCGGCACAACGTGGTTCGCGGCGGTACACAACGGGGGTTAGGGGGCGAGCAGCCAGGTCGGAGAGTCTAGTCGGATGATCGAGGCGGTCCAGTGATTCCCCGGGATTACGGTGTGATGTGACGAAGAAGAGAGGATCCAAGATCCGAGAACCGAGGATCGCGCGCGCGCGCACGCGTGCTGCCGCTTGCTTTTCGTCGCCGAGACGAGAGAGTGTTTTGCCTGAACAATCTTGATGCCCAGGGCCTAGCGGCGATATCCGGAGTCACCGACGAACCATGCATTCCCCGATCCTGCCTCTGCTGGTGGTGTTGCTCGGCCAGGCGGCCCTGTCCTTCGTCCTCGAGGGCTCGGCGACCAGCTACGCGCAGTTCCGCAAGTGGAACGCCGGGCTGAACGGCACCTTGGAGTTCGAGTTCAAGACCGAGCAGGGCAACGGGCTGCTGCTTTACACCGACGACGGTGGCACATACGACTTCTTCGAGGTGAAGCTCGTCGAGAGCGCGCTCAGGCTGAGGTACAACCTCGGCGGCGGTGCGCAGATCGTCACCGTCGGCCATGACCTCGGCGACGGGCACTGGCACAAGGTGCAGATCACCAGGTGCAACGAGAACACCACGCTGACCGTCGACGGCGTCAGCGCCGTCTCCACGTCCAGGGGCAAGGAGTTCGAGTTCGGAAAGCTGCCCGGCAATTCGGACGTGTACGTGGGCGGCATGCCCAGCTGGTACAACAGCAAGCTCACGCTGCTCGCGCTGCCCAGCGTGATCTTCGAGCCAAGGTTCAACGGGTTCATCAGGAACCTCGTGTACGCCGACGGGGAGAGTTCCGTGCCCAAGAGGCAGGAGATGAAGAGCCGGGATGCCAAGGTAGGTGGGGTTCCGATGGCCGGAATATGTTTTGTGTGTGCGACATTGTTTTCGATTGTATGCCACACTGTTTTTCAGCTGTGTGCGATGATTGGATCGCGGATTTTACGCGTTTGTAGCAAACGCGGATAAACGAACCACGACACAGTGAAGATACGAGACCAATTGAGCCGTTCATTTTGAAAGTGGCATAAGTCGCTTTGTTTTTAAGTCGATATACGCGCTTAAAAATATGGATGCTGACTTTCGAGAAGATTTACTTGTATTTGTTATCTCAGGATACTGATATTTCTCTCAGTATAAATAATTTCGTATAAACATTGAAAAGATCACCACTTTTCATTACGGTAAAGTGACTTATGCCACTTGCAAAATAAACGGCTCAATTTACTGAATTTACAAGACGAATACTGTCGCATTATTGTATCAACGTCGATTGTATCGACATCGTTACAAAAAGGGAATACGTGATTATGTAACTTCTGTTTCATATAATCAGCGAGGACAAATTTTATTTTGCACATAGATCCGCAGTCTAACGATGATTATAAATAAAAGCTGGTAGAAGCGAGCTCGGCGGATAACGTATAATGATAATAAATAACAATCTGTACCGCCACTCGCTTCTCATTCATTGTTCGATCACTCGATACGTCGACTGTCACTCTTCTCTCGCATCATTTGATTATCCGATTTTATTAACCGTAGAATGGCTAAAGTTTTAGTGGTCGGACGAAAGCCGAAGCCTGGTCATATTTCACCCGAAACAAAATTCATTAATATATCAAGCTTTTCATCGGAGTTCAATTTAAATTCATTAGCTTATATGTTTTCAGTAACTGACTTCTAAAAAAAAGAACGATATTATTAGGTCTACCGGAAAGTTCTGTCCGATAGTGTCACTTCAAGTTTCAATCCATATGCACATGTTGATTCGAGACATATATGACTATCTCTCTTTATCATTGCATTTACACACATGTACTCTCCTAAATACACTGAAACAAGGATGTCTCATGTCATTATTAAGTGAGACGCGACCGTGAAAACATGGCTACCGATGATAATGCCAGGCCACATGCTGCTTTGGCGACTCGTCGGAAAATCGCAGAGCTAGGCTGGGAAATTCTGTCGCATCCACCATACTCCCCAGACCTAGCACCCTCCGATTATCACTTGTTTCTCTCTTTGCAAAACTTTTTACAGGAAAAAATATTCAAAACTGAAGCTGATGTCAACCGAGCATTAGTCGAGTTCTTCGCCTCTAAAAATAAATCATTTTTCAAAAATAGCATTTACAAGTTGCCATCACGCTGGCAAGAAGTCATAAGTAACGATGGAAAGTATATTCTACAATAAATATTGTTAAATGCATGAAAATTGTGTTATATTTCAATTCAAAAACGGACAGAACTTTCCGGTAGACCTAATATATTGTAGCGAATGGATGAAAGGAAAGCAGCAGATGCGTTAATTTTAATACAAAAATTTATTCGTAAATAAAAAGCGTGTATCTCTAGCTTTCTAAAATGACTTTTCTCCTTGATAATTCGGTGAACAGCTATCGCTGCTTAATTAGCACAAGGCATGCATAATGATCAAAGAACAATCTTGAAGTGGTATATTAGTCCATATCGGATGGAACAAAAGACAAGAAAATAAGTATCGATCTATCGTGTCCGATTATTATTCGCTTGTTCGATTTGCTGTAAATAATCTAATAAATAGCAATCGACATCCATGACCATCAAACGGCAGCGTCTGACCATCGCTCGAAATTTCTACTTGCAATAACCAGTTTCCCAGATGCCAAAGCCTGAAGAAAGTTACTAAATAGGATCAAATATTTTTGCTTGTTACATTTCTCCATTTTCGATACCGCGAAACGCTGAATTCCTCTTTATTCTTTAAATCGCGGGCGTTACGAACGAAAGATCGAAAGTTTAAGGGAGAAACTCTGGACGAGGTACGTTGACCCAGGACTTTTCATACCGAGATGCGTAATTAGCAATTATTTTCTCTACCGAAATAAATGCCTGTAAATCGAGAATTGTTGTCCCGCGGGTTTATTCGAGGGACTTTCGTACTTCGAATCGACACAATCGGCGAAACAGTAGGAAATAGCCAATCGATGGAAAGCGATAAAGTGGTGCACCGGATAGTCGGTTTATTTTTAGCGTTCTGTATGTACCTGCGTACATAGATGCATGTGATTTTTGGAAGGGAGAGGCCTCGGTTTATGACATTCGATCCTACACGCCGTTCAGGGATCGCCGCGGGAAAAAAGTGTCTTCGGGGTGGATTATCTCCCTGACTCAGCTATAACAGGCTGGGTGCAACAGGGTGACAGACACTCGTCCACTTTATCCACACCCCTGGTGAAATGAATATGCACGATTCTTTTGAATATATTAAACCTCTTCGTGTTGGCTGTATTACGCGCGCTGATTTAGGGTCCGTGCGCGCCGAGGCACAAGCTTAAATTACTTCCTGCGAGTACCATTTCATGAAAATAACGCCGATATTTATTGAGAATCTATTGCTGGAACTGTTGTGCAACAATAGATTGCGTTGTTCAATCGAAACCTCATTATTTTTGATTGATTGATGTATTGTACGTGTGATTTGATTTGACGTATTATACATGATTTAATTTGTTGTGTACTATATGATTTGATTTGTTGCGTGCTACACGATTTGATTCGATGTTTTGTACATTTTTTGATTCGATTTATTATCCACGATTCAATTGCGCTTATCTTGTAGAAACGTACAGTTTAATTTTTTTACTATGAATACGAATTTTCATGTAATAAAGTCTGACAACTTTTATTTGATTCGATGCATAACGCATAAATTTCAATAATTAACTGAACAGCGAAAGAAACCGAACCGTGATTTTCTATCGCGTCTGATCGTTTCTCACTTTTTCTACCGATTAGAAGAATTTTTGATTTTTTAAGATATTTAGTATATTTAGTATATTTTTAATTTCTGATTTTTTAAGATATTTAGTCTTGCAGACTTATTTGGCTTGCCTGTTGTTTCTAATTCAACGGCAATTTATCTCATTCGATTGTGTGTGTGTGTGTGCCGAACATCGACTAATCGAATGAACGATTTAAATTAATTCGGGCCACGATTGACACAGCCACCGCTTTGCGAGGGTTAAATCGAGCTTCGACCGTACGGTAGAACGTAGGATGAAACAGACATGGAGGAATTCGAGTTTCAAAGGAAAAACAATGGCACACGCGCAAGCAACGACGCAAAATATTAGATTCATTTAGGTTGTTTACGAGGGGGCAAGCGACGATGGTTCTCGTAACGCGACGGTTTTCACTTTCTCGCCCCGTAAAAATGTCTTACTCGTAAACGAATTAAGCCGTCTCCGGCTCGCACTTTTACAAGCAATAAGCCGCACACGGAGGACTAAATTTGCCAGGAGTGTGCAGGTGAACGCGAGCGAGCGAGCGCGCGCGCGTACTTGATGGAAGAATTTCATAACAAGCGCGGGAGATATTCAGTCGCGGAATTTCTTGCGTTCGCGCGAATCTGGGCCAGGCATCGCGGGGACGTATTGTTACGCACGGCGGCTGACACCGTTCCGGCATTTTATAATAAGGGGAACGTATCAAAAAAACAAAAAGCGTTTTTGTTCTCTTCCGCGTTAAAAATACCATTCCTCTCTGGTTCCCCCTTTGAGCGTTGAGTTTTGTTTAACAATAGATCCGAGCGACGTTGCGGATATTACCGACGCCACTGCCTTTGCCGGCGCAGTCAAACGGCGACGATTGTTTTCCCCGCGTTACTCTTTCGAATCCACCTGGCCATGGAAACTAATGTCGTATTTCCATCGCGGCCGAACGTTGACATTTCAACGAATCCGCCCGCGGCACCTTCGCGCGGGCGCAAACAAGGGTAAGTGTTTCGATTACTGTGCCACCCTCTGGTTACTGTGCTCTTGCGATAACGTTACTTACACTTAAATCATATCAATTTTATACTAACAATGGATATTTATTTAAGTTAATCTAGTCATTTTAAAGGTTTGGCATTATTGTAAAAATAAAATGCATTTATATTATATTTTTTTATATTTTAAGTAATTTTAAACTTAAATCACTAGACCTCTATGAAAAATTAACAAAAATCAACAGTCTTCGCAGGCGCCTCTGCGACGTAGGTTATCTTTCTCGGGTTAAAGACGTCAAATTTTTTAAATGAAACTTGATCTGTCATTTTCATAGTCTTATCAACGTTTTCACTTTGTAAGGCCTGCAAAAGTAATTTCTTAAAAATCTCTCGCATAATGTTTCATGTGTTTTCACCGTGTTCTTGTTAAAAAAAGAAAACAGCTTAAGCAACACGTTGCGAATAAAGATGAAAATGATACGAAAACGATGTTTTTCGATGACGAAAGAATAAAGTATTGTATTCATGAAACTCGTCTAAATTACAGAGAAACAATAATACAATCGACTTCTCGGATATATTTTTTGATTTAACCCTTTTGCTCCGATGGGCGTATATATACGCCCTCGAAGAATGACCATTCGTATACGAAGAGCGTGTATACTGTCTCTTATACACATCTAGATGTGTATAAGAGACAGTATACACGCTCTTCGTATACGAATGGTCATTCTTCGAGGGCGTATATATACGCCCTCGAAGAATGACCATTCGTATACGAAGAGCGTGTATATACGCTCTGGAAAAGTGGGCGCGCGGGTACGAAGAACGTATATATACGTTCATACCATATATATACTTTTATTTCATACTTTACATGAGATACTTTTGTTAATCGAGTATCTGGCAACGCTGCACGCCTTAAACAATTCACTATCATGAAATATAACGCTATTGACAAGACGATATTGTGTTTTATTCTAACGATACACAGTTACAGTCTTCTTTAGAACATTGCCAGCGACGGATATATACCAGCAATTTATAATTCACGAATTTATAATTCTAAAATAATTTTGTTGGCTTAACTTTAATAATTCACGGGTAAATACTCAATTTCTGCCTTTGCGATTATTGGGATTATGGAATGAAAATGAATATGATTCTAATTCTTTT